TTTTTTTTTTTTTTTTTTTTTTTTTTTTTTTTTTTTTTTTTTTTTTTTTTTTTTTTTTTTTTTTTTTTTTTTTTTTTTTTTTTTTTTTCTTTTTTTTTTCTTTTTTTTTTTTAACCTACCTAACATCACGAGCAGGAAAGCGAAGGAGGGCTTCATCCCAGCTCCTGCAAAATTGTAAAAATTCCGTAAAAATTGAAAAAAACCCCAGCAAACTGATGAAGCAGCCCAGCGATGCTCTGGAGGTGAAAGGTTTCTCATTAAAATACCAGCCAGGCTCTTCTGACGACATTCTTGCCCCGTGGTGTGGTGTGGATGAATTATTTTGACCATTTTTTCAGAGCATTGCATGACTAGGAAAGTTTTTCTTGCTGATCGAGAGTTGAGAAAAATCAGATTTCCCGAGTGTATTTTAACCCTTTACTCATCCCATTTTGCCCCAACCTGGGGACTGATCCCAGAGGTCCCGCCTATGGGAATCCCCGTCGTCGTCCCGTCCCCCACCCCGGAGCAAAGCCAGGCATAAATTGGAGGAGTTTTGGTGAAAAAAAAACCAAAAACCACCTAGTTTTTTCCTGGCTGGAAAAAGAGAAACTGAGGCAGGATGGAGGATGCACGATGTGAGCGGGGTGATTTGATGAGCACCCACATGTGCATTTTGCAAAACAAACTCCAGATCCGGAGCAGCACGATCCTCCTTTGCAGTGAATCAGGTGCTTTTTCAGGAGGATTTCCGCTCGACTCGAGCAATTTGAAGCAATTTGAAGGGAAAGGATTTAAGGGAGCGATGGACGTTCGCAATGGAAATAAAATCTCTTACCTTGATATCTCGCTGTGTCCCGATTTCCCCAGGGAAAGACGAGGAGAAAAGAGGCACCGACACGAGCTCAGCCACCAAGAAATGGGTTTTCAGGTGCTTTTTCAGGAGGATTTCCGCTCGACTCGAGCAATTTGAAGCAATTTGAAGGGAAAGGATTTAAGGGAGCGATGGACGTTCGCAATGGAAATAAAATCTCTTACCTTGATATCTCGCTGTGTCCCGATTTCCCCAGGGAAAGACGAGGAGAAAAGAGGCACCGACACGAGCTCAGCCACCAAGAAATGGGTTTTCTGTTGCACCCTGCCCCTTCTTTTAACACGCAGCCCTCCCGCCCCCCCCAGCCCTCCCGCCCCCCCTTTCCACCATGAAAAAAACCATAAACACGGTGGAATCCGCCAACTTTCTGCCTATCAAGGCAGCGTGGATCCGTAGTCCCCCGGGATCTCCGGAGAGGCAGATTTCAGGACACGGGAGACATTTGGCTGCTCCTGGTGTTTTCTGAATCCCAGATAAGGTTTTTGGCAAGGAGACGTGGCAGATGCAGGATGGGCTTACAGTTCTTGGGAATTACCATAAGGGATTTTGCTAATTAATCTCAAAAAACCGCCCGTTA